TAGTCAGGCTGTTAAGCTAGACATAACCAGGCTGTTAAGCAAGACAGTCAGGATGTTAAGCTAGATATAACCAGGCTGTTAAGCTGGACATTGACAGTCTGTTAAACTAGACATAACCAGGCTGTTAAGCTAGGCATAGCCAGGCTGTTAAGCATGACATAGTCAGGCTGTTAAGCTAGACATAGTCAAATCCATATGTTTATTCAGGTAAAGTACATACATACAGGGGGTGATACAAAAATTGATGAATTTATAGATAGAGCTAGTACATACAATGCCTAAAGCCACTATTACGCAAAGCGTTTCGGGCAGGAAAAACACTAAAGACTAAAACAATACTAATTGAGATTAAAGTATAAAATGTGTTGATAAAATATAAAAATAAAAAGGGGGAAATATGGCAGAAGAAAGCAAAAATACAAATTGGTCGACAAACAGCATTGTTTAAAAATAACAGACATGGGTTGACATTTAAGGGGTAAGGTAGGTTACAGGGAGTTAATTAGGTAGTACTTAGTTTTTATCTTAAACTGGTTGAGAGTGGTACAGCCTTTAACATGATTGGGAAGGTCATTTCACATTCTGGGTACCTTGATTTGTAGAGCATTTCTAGTTTGATTAAGTCGAACTCTTGGAATATCATAAAGGTATTTGTTTCTGGTGTGGTGGACATGGGTTCTGTTACAACCGTCATTCGATATAAAGGATTTCAGAGTATAGATCAAAAGCGAGATATGAATTCATCTAATATCTCATATCACAGGATGGTTAGTTATACACGGAATTAGGAGAAAACATGAAATGCTAGTTTATTATTGAATATTGCGTTGGAGAGGGAGAGAGGGAGGGAATTATCAGGGGACAGCGCCAAGCCATCCGACTATTCAGTCACAGTCAAGCCGTTAAGCTATGTCTAGCTTAACAGTCAAGCTGTTAAGCTAGACATAGGCTGTTAAACTAGACATAACCAGGCTGTTACGCTAGGCATAACAGTTGTTGTATTGAGTGTATATTCTACTGCATTACTCCTTGTAATGATCCTCATATTGTGCTTCAGTTATCCAATGTATAACCCTGAGACGTTTTCCTAATTGTACTTAGGATTCCTTGTTCATTATTGTGTATTGTTCTGATCAGCTTTTGTGTCAAAAATTCTTGCAATGTACCTGTAAAAATTTGTTTTGACAATTTTACTGTAATTATCCTACTTAAAATCATCTGTACTTGTAAAGTAAAGCTGTAAAGTACCTGTTAAACACTTTTTTATCATTTTTACTCTTATATCTCCAAAACTTTCTGTTAGTTTAAGGATTTGCTCTAAGGTTAGATTAAGGACTTGCCCGAAACGCTATGCGTGCTAGTGGCTTTACAAGATTGTAATTTGAACTCAAACTCTATGTTCTCTCTTAACCACCAATGTACTTTCTTGTATATATAAATAAATAAATAAATAAATAAATAAATATTCAGCCTGTTACGCTAATCATAGCCAGCTGTTAAGCTAGACAAATATAAATCTCAATTTATTTATTTATTTATTTATTTATTTATTTATTTATTTATGTACAAGAAGGTACATTGGGTTTGTGAGAATACATATCATAGTACAGTAATTACACTCTTGTAAAGCCACTAGTACGCGCAGCGTTTCGGGCAGGTCCTTAATCTAACAGATAATTTTAAGTAGGTAAATTCTATCAGAATTAATAAAATGATAACAAATACATTGCAAGAAAAAAATGAGACGAGAGAGATTAGTAAGTATATTAAAGCACATTGGTATATTAAAGCTCTGATTGATTACATTGACAGCTTGATTGGTAATTTAAACAAGATTAATAGACACCATACAGCAGATTGACAGCACATATAAGAAGACAGCAATGATCACAATGATAAAGATGTTCAGATTGGGTACATAAAGATTGGGAGATTGGGTAGCAATAGATACAGTGCAATTTTAAAGCAAAAGGTATAAAACTATGAAGATGAAATTAGGTACTTTTTAGTATTGTTTTTGAATGATGCAAAAGTTGGACAGCTTTTCAATTTAATAGGGAGTGAGTTCCATAGACTGGGTCCCTTTATTTGCATAGAGTGTTTACACAGATTAAGTTTGACTCTGGGGATATCAAAGAGATATTTATTTCTGGTGTGGTGATAATGGGTCCTATTACATCTGTCCAGGGAGAGTTTCAGAGCAGGATTTGCATTTAAGAACAGGGTTTTTTAAATGTAATTGACACAAGAGAATTTGTGGAGTGAGATTATGTTTAGCATGTTTAGGGAGTTAAACAAGGGGGCTGAGTGTTGTCTGAAAGAAGAATTTGTTATTATTCTGATAGCAGATTTTTGCTGGGTGATGATGGACTTGAGGTGGTTTGCAGTGGTTGAACCCCATGCACAGATACCATAATGTAATAGTGTATTAATATCTTATTAGAATAATGTGATAATAGTGTAATAATATCGTAGTGTAATATCATGGTTATCTTGAGTTGATTTCGGGGCTTTAGTGTCCCCGCGGCCCGGTCCTTGACCAGGCCTCTACCCCCAGGAAGCAGCCCGTGACAGCTGACTAACACCCAGGTACCTATTTACTGCTAGGTAACAGGGGCATTCAGGGTGAAAGAAACTTTGCCCATTTGTTTCTGCCTCGTGCGGGAATCGAACCCGCGCCACAGAATTACGAGTCCTGCGTGCTATCCACCAGGCTACGAGGCCATGGTGTAGTGTAATGTGGTGTAGTGTAATATCATGGTGTAGTGTAATGTGGTGTAGTGTAATAATATCTTATTAGACATACAGCCATATAAACAAATTACAATGATGATTAACTATATGCAACAAAGGGGATTTTTACATAGTAAATGTAAATTTACTCTGTAATGCCATTAATTACTATAATTAATAAATTTGTAAATGCCGAAACACATCTGCAATATAAGATCCAGCTCGATAAAATCATCAGAACAAATGTGGAACCTTTGACAAGCTGTCGGCTTCCTGTCCTCGTCGTCACTGGCGAAGGTGGGCTTTTGGTAAATATAGTTTAGTGCCCCCATGTCTCGATTCACATACATCTATAGGTTCTAGAGCAACCCGTCCGCTTATGAATAACGTCGCTTTTCGCTTGTATGCGAGCTACGACTAAAAATTGCCGTAATTGAAAATGGAATCGGCTCACGAAATTTGATTGTTGCCGCCGAAGGCGGCTAGTTTATTGTGCACCCCATACTCATCCTGTGAGCGGTAGCGCAAAAGCATTACAGAGGGCACAAAAGGTCTTTATCAGACCTCATCTTAGATTATTACATAAACAATTTCTTCAATCCTTCACACCTTATAGATACAATGTCAGCTAGTTACAGAGAAAGTGCTATTACAAGAGCTACATATTTACAGTAAGTCATCATACATTAATGGTAGGTCTTGTCGTTAATACATAATAGTTTGGCCAATGGGGATATTACAGAGTCATAGGGAAGCTTCTGTTTATTATTAGTCCTCACAATACACTACTTGTTTCTGAATCTCATATGTCGTTCATCTACTGGAAGCAAAATGTGGGTACAGTGCAAGGATTTCAGGTAATTTATCCATGGTAATAAGATAGGTTGCCATATCATACAGAGTGAGCTTAGATTTATCTCTAAAAGGCTCAATTTTACAACAATCTAAGATATAGTGTTCGAGTGTGTGTCCCTGCCTATGTCCACACACTTTACACTTTACTTCATCTAGATCCCTATACAAGCCGAACTGCCAGAGATACTTGTAGCCAAGTCTTATACGAGCTGTGACAACATCTGTTAGTCTACTGACTTTGTTACTTGCCCCATACACATGTTTTACTTCACACATTTCATTGTGATGAACAATGGACCTACTAGTTCCAGTTTGCACTGTTCTACTTTCTTCAAATCCATCTAGGAGTTCTCGTCTAATGACACTTTTAAGGGACCTATTTGATAACTCAAGATTCCATTCAATACTGTCTTTATTTACTGCAGCCTTAGCGCACTGTCCCGTTTTCTGTTTCCACACGGTCATAAATCCATGGAACAGCCTACCCGCCGAAGTCGTAAATGCCAAAAATGTTAAATTTTAAAATCCAGCTGGTAAAAATCATCAGGGAAAATAGGGGAACTTTGACAAGCCGCCAGCTTCCTGTGCTCGTCGAGGCCACTAGTGTGTTAGTGGCCCTCAGAGTCATTAACACTTATAGTTTTAATACTGAAAAATTCTCATATGCCATTGATGCCATTGATAAATATGACAACAAAATTGGCCCCAAAATTGACCCCTGTGGTACCACACTTACCACATTTCTCCATTCAGATTCTTTCCCATTTAACACGACGCTTTGTTTTATCCATTCTAGTATTCTACCATTTATTCCACGTTCCTGTAATTTCCTTCCAGTCCTTCATGTGGTACCTTATTGAAAGCTTTAGTAAAATCCATGTATACTACTAAATCAACCGGAATTCCTTTGAGTAGCTGGTTACCGTTTCCACAAATGCGAACAGGGTTTGTAGGGCAGGATCTATTTTTAACAAACGTAAGGGTTCAAGGCCAGCTGCTCTTATTATCCCCTATTCCACACAACCCCACCTCTTACGTTGTTTGAAAAGATCCTATTTTTCAATATGCTTCTGTCCTTTTGTTGAGCTCTTCACAATACTGTGCACCAGCTCATCCAACATTAGGGTCAGTGAACCACGTTTTACCACTTCTTGTCTTGCGAATACGCCAGCAGTTGCCTAAACCTGAAGAACTTCTGATTTTTCGCTTTATTGAATTATACATCATCATGCTTGATATTATATATCTATTTTGAATTGGTGAATAACACTACTCAAGCAAGCTGGAGATATTTGTATAGTCGAGACCGTATATGGAGCATGGAGAATACGAGACATAATTAATTCAGCTGGGCGCCGCCAGTGCAGGAGTCAAGGGTCAGCCCAGCATGCTATATACGACAACCTCCACCACCACTACCACCACCACCACGCACTACCACCACGCACGCTAGTGCTCACATTGTATCGGTGTCTCCTCGGCACCATTGCTCTAACGTGTTCCCTCAGCTACATAAGAGACAAACACCCTATAACTGGAGACGTGTGAATGTGTATCAACTACAATTTAGCAGAAGAAAATATATTGAATACTGTGAACTGTTATACATCGTTGCTTTGTACTGTGAACATATATTGTATTTAAGTAAACTGTTAACATAAGTCAGATAAATATAAGATGCAAGGAAGAAACTCTCCCTGTTCAATGTCACAACGCCAAACACACTTCCCACAACATATCGTCCAGGATAACGAGATTAAAACTCAGCATGTGCTTCCAGAAGCAGCGGATCAGGAATTACAAGCACTTTGTATAAGAAAGGATGAAGAAGTAGTGGACACACTGCAGCTGACAATAACAGAAGAAATATGTGAACACAGAGAAGAGGATGACACAGTCGTGATAGCCGGTCCGGACGGCGGCTGGTCTTGGCTGGTTCTCTTGGGATCCTTTGTTGTCATGGTCAGTTGTTTACTTTAACTTATTTATTATTCAACCCATACCCATCCTGTGACTTTAAATAGGGAAAAAGGTTACAGAGGCACAAATGTAAAATATCTGTTGAGATTGATTGATTGATGAAGATTAAGCCACCCAAGAGATGGCACGGGTACGTAATGCTTTTGCGCTCTTTCGTGTGATCAGTATTGGGTACGCAATAAGCTAGCCTAAGCTGGTGGCAACAATTAAAGGCACACATTGGGCTCAGAAAATGAGTCCCAGAATTTGTTTAGCAAAGCAACTCACATCATTGAAGAACATATATATATGTTAACTGTTGAACTGACTCACCGGCTCCTACGTAACTAGTCTTTTATCTTATATTTTCACATTTTGTGTGTGTATTATTTCAGTTTGAATGAATTAAGTCATGCACGTTTGTATGTATAACTGCGCATGCGCATACTCGAACGTATAATTAACTGTGTTCAACAGCTAATCACCACTGCTCACAATTGAACAACCCGGATTCGATTCCCGGATGGGACAGAAATGGCTTCGGCGGCAACAATCAACAACAATCAATGGTTGGGCACGTTTCCTTTCACCTAACGGCTCTGTTCACCTAATAGTACATAGATACCCAAGAGTTAGGCAACTGTTGTGGGGTTGCAACCTGGGGAGGGTCAATAGTTCAACCTTGGAGGTATCTCAGAGCTGATATACCCGAAACTGTACTTGTGGTCGATGTCGAACCCATTGATGATGTGACAATTTATAGTAAAGTAAGTAAAGTAAATTTTATTCAGGAAAGTACATACATAGTTGATTTACAAACATAATGTTGGATTTATAGATAGAGTTAGTACATACAATACATAAAGCCACTAGTACGCATAGTGTTTCGGGCAAGATGAGGTGGGGAAAAACCCCTTAGACTAAAACTTAATAGTAATTGAGCTTAAAGTATAAATTGCGTTGAAGGAAAAAAATAAATAAAAAAGAAGGGGGGACATGGTAGAAAATAGCCAATATACAAGTTGGTCAACAAACAGCATTGTTTAAACATAGTAAGATATGGGTTGACATATTTAGAGGTAAGGTAGGTTACATGGACTTCATAGTTTTCACTTTTTGCCTTAAAATTGCACTGTATCAATTGCTACCCAATCTCCCAACCTTTATGTACCCAATTTGAACATCTTTACCATTGTGATCATTGCTGTTTTCTTATATGTGCTGCCAATCTGCTGTATGGTGTTTATAAATCTTGTTTATCTGTATCTTTTGCTACCCAGTCTCCCAATCTTTATGTACCCAATCTGAACATCTTTACCATTGTGATCATTGCTGTCTTATATGTGCTGTCAATCTGCTGTATGGTGTCTATTAACCTTGTTTATCTGTATCTTTTGCTACCCAGTCTCCCAATCTTTATGTACCCAATCTGAACATCTTTACCATTGTGATCATTGCTGTGTCTTATATGTGCTGCCAATCTGTTGTATGGTGTTTATAAATCTTGTTTATCTGTATCTTTTGCTACCCAGTCTCCCAATCTTTATGTACCCAATCTGAACATCTTTACCATTGTGATCATTGCTGTCTTATATGTGCTGTCAATCTGCTGTATGGTGTCTATTAACCTTGTTTAAATTACTAATCAAGCTGTCAATGTAATCAATCAGAGCTTTAATATAACAATGTGCTTTAATATACCTACTTATCTCTCTCATCTCATTTTTCTCTTGTAATGTATCTTTATCATTTATCAATTCTGATTGAAATTACCTACTTAAAATTATCTGCTAGATTAAGGACCTGCCCGAAACGCTGCGCGTACTAGTGGCTTTACAAGAATGTAAATACTGTATTATCCAATGTATTCTCACAAACCCAATGTACCTTCTTGTATATATATAAATAAATAAATAAATAAATAAGTTAATTATACAGAATTTTGTAATTAGCTCATCAATATTCTAACTTGTTTAGCTAAATGAATTGTGGGGTTCAGTCCCTGAGCCCATTATGTGTCTCTGGCACATAATGTAACCCTTTCCACTACCGCCCACAAGATGGGTATGGGGTGCATAATAATTTAACTAAATTAACTAACACAGGCTTCCTGTGTATATTATTATTATTAATATTATTATTTGGTAAATTATTCCATATTTGTTGTAGTCTTTATTTTCATAAAATTTTGAGAGGTAGAGCCAAGCAAAAGAACTATCACAGTCTTAGAGCTGACATGGTATTACGTTTCAGGGTTCTTGAATATGTTTAAGACGCAAGAGAATGTGTAAACTGCTTGTTCGTTTAAGATGAGCAGTGTTTACTGAAGGTTGCGGGTGTATGTATGTGTACTTACCAAGTTGTACTTACCTAGTTGCGCTTGCGGGGGTTGAGCTCTGGTTCTTTGGTCCCGCCTCTCAACTGTCAATCAACTGGTGTACAGATTCCTGAGCCTATTGGGCTCTATCATATCTACACTTAAAACTGTGTATGGAGTCAGCCTCCACCACATCACTTCCTAATGCTACATTTGTCTACTACTCTAACACTGAAAAAAATTGTAATGTCTCTATGGCGCATTTGGGCACTCAGTATCCACCTGTGTCCCCTAGTGCGTGTGCTCCTGGTGTTAAATTGTCTGTCTCTATCCACCCTATCAATTCCTCTGAGAATCTTGTGTGTGGTGATCATGTCCCCCTAACTCTTCTATCTCCCAGTGACATGAGGTTTAATTCCTGTAATCTTTCCTCGTAGCTCATACCCCTCAGTTCTGGTACTAGTCTGGTGGCAAACCTTTGAACCTTTTCCAGCTTAGTCTTATGCTTGACTAGATATGGACTCCATGCTGGAGCCGCATACTCCAGGATTGGTCTGACATATGTGATATACAAAGTTCTGAATGATTCCTTACAGAAGTTTCTAAAGGCCATTCTTATGTTGGCCAACCGGGCATATGCCGCTGATGTTATCCTCTTGATATGGGCTTCAGGGGGACAAGTCTGGCATGATATCAACCCCCAGGTCTTTCTCTCTCTTTGACTCTTGAAGTATTTCATTTCCCAAATGATACCTTGTATCTGGTCATCTGCTCCCTATACTTATCTTCATTACATTACATTTGCTCGGGTTAAACTCTAACAACAACTTGTTCGACCCTTCCTGCAGCTTGTCCCTGCTACATACTCCTCTTTCTTAATCCTTCTCATAATTTTGGCGTCGTCAGCAAACAATGAGAGGAATGAGTCTATACCCTTTGGGAGATCATTTACGTATATCAGAAACAGAATAGGTCCGAGTACATGTGTGTGTGTATGTGTGTAATTACCTAAGTGTAGTTACAGGATGAGAGCTACGCTCGTGGTGTCCCGTCTTCTCAGCACTCTTTGCCATATAATGCTTTGAAACTACTGACGGTCTTGGCCTCCACCACCTTCTCACCTAACTTGTTCCAACCGTCTACCACTCTGTTTGCGAAAGTGAATTTTCTTAAATTTCTTCGGCATCTTTGTTTAGCTAGTTTAAATCTATGACCTCTTGTTCTTAAAGTTCCAGGTCTCAGGAAATCTTCCCTATCGATTTTATCAATTCCAGTTACTATTTTGTATGTAGTGATCATATCACCTCTTTTTCTTCTGTCTTCCAGTTTTGGCATATTTAATGCCTCTAACCTCTCCTCGTAGCTCTTGCCCTTCAGTTCTGGGAGCCACTTAGTAGCATGTCTTTGCACCTTTTCCAGTTTGTTGATGTGCTTCTTAAGATATGGGCACCACACAACAACTGCATATTCTAGCTTTGGCCTAACAAAAGTCATGAACAATTTCTTTAGTATATCGCCATCCATGTATTTAAATGCAATTCTGAAGTTAGAAAGCATAGCATAGGCTCCTTGCACAATATTCTTTATGTGGTCCTCATGTGATAGTTTTCTATCTAGAACCACCCCTAGATCTCTTTCTTTATCAGAATTCTTTAAAGATTTCTCACATAATATATAGGTTGTATGGGGTCTATGTTCTCCTGTTCCACATTCCATCACATGACATTTATTAACATTAAATTCCATTTGCCAGGTGGTGCTCCATATACTTATTTTGTCCAGGTCTTCTTGAAGGGCATGACAATCATCTAAATTTCTTATCCTTCCTATTATCTTAGCATCATCAGCAAACATGTTCATATAATTCTGTATACCAACTGGTAGATCATTTATGTACACAATAAACATCACTGGTGCAAGAACTGAACCCTGTGGTACTCCACTTGTGACATTTCTCCATTCCGATACATTGCCTCTGATTACTGCCCTCATTTTTCTATCAGTCAGAAAATTTTTCATCCATGATAGAAGCTTACCTGTCACCCCTCCAATATTTTCCAGTTTCCAGAACAACCTCTTATGTGGAACTCTATCGAAAGCCTTTTTTACCTCCAGATAGATGCAGTCAACCCAACCATCTCTTTCCTGTAATATCTCTGTGGCTCGATCATAGAAACTGAGTAAATTCGATACACAGGATCTTCCAGATCGAAAACCATACTGTCTGTCTGATATTATATCATTTCTCTCCAGGTGTTCTACCCATTTAGTTTTGATTAGCTTTTCCAATACTTTCACTATTACACTTGTCAATGATACAGGTCTATAATTGAGGGGGTCTTCCCTGCTGCCACTTTTGTAGATTGGAACTATGTTAGCCTGTTTCCACACGTCTGCTACGATTCCTGTACACAGGGATGCCTGAAAGATCAGGTTAAGTGGAATGCTGAGCTCAGATGCACATTCTCTCAGAACCCATGGTGAAACGCCATCTGAGCCAGCTGCTTTGTTCTTCCCGAGCTCCTTTAGCATATTTTCCACTTCATCTCTAGACACCTCTATCCGCTCTATGTTGTTCTCTGGAATTCTTATTGTGTCTGGTTCTCTGAAGATTTCATTTTGTACAAACACACTTTGGAACTTTTCATTTAATGTTTCACACATTTCCTTTTCATTTTCCGTGAAT